ATAGAATAATACCCTCCCTCCTGTTCTCTGCCCGTGACCGCGTGCCTGACTGAATTTTCACTCGCCTGCACTGCATTTCCACTCGCCAAATGCGAGCAGGTGAGTGGAAATTTTGAGCCCTGGGCTAGATCACCCATCTGTCATAATTTTGTGTGTCCAATACTGTACAAACAAGAAAAGTACCTCCACTACAACTGTGTATACAGTCATGTGATAAAGGAAGTTCACCCTTTTTACATTCTATGGTATTAGGCATCAGGACATAATAAAACAAAAACAGCTGGTCCTTAGCAGCCTTAAAATTAGGTAAATACAACCTCAGATGAATACAACATATGACACTGTATTTCACCAAGTCATCATTTATTTTACAAACACAAAGCCAAAATGCATGAAGCTGTGTGTGAAAAACTATGTACACCTGATCTCTTGCCTCCTTGGCATTGTGTTAACACATCTGAATGCTCCAGACTAGGGCTGCAACTGACGATTATTTTCATAATCGTTTAGTTGGCCGATCATTTTTTTCGATTAAAGACATTTTTTTAAATGTATTTAATATGAAATACAAAGATGCAGTGTTACAAAGTTTACTTCAGAATAAAACTGCATGCACATTTTTTGCAATTGCACTTCACTGCAGAACCGTACGTTCTAGTGCGGGCGATCACACTGTAGGCAGGAGGTGCGTTTGGGGTGCTATTGAAACGAATGGCACCACAACACACATCCTGCAGCAGAATTTGTCAGGCCGAAACCAAAAAGGACTTTTCCCACCTTTTTTATATTTTAATAATTGCATGCATTATATTAGACATTTAAATTAGTTTCATGGATTTAAAATAACCTGAATTGTAAAACTCCAATATAATAAAATAGCGTAACTTTTATTTCAAATAAATAAAAGCCCGGTCATCAGTTTAGAGTTAGCCATGAATATTGGGCGGAACATGATTGCTCTCACTCCGGCACACACAGCGATACCTGACATGTGTAACGCAATCGTCGTTTTCATACGTAGGTGCACCCGACTTGTGTTTCCGCGCGTTTGCGGGGTCGGGGGAGTTAAACTTTTTGGGGGGTATTTTTCATTTTATTTAACTTATATATATATATTTTTTTAACTTCATTGCTATCACATGGGGGTAGGGGGCTGCTAAGGCAGCTGAATGTAAATACAGCATGCAGTGGTTGGGAGCAATAGCCAGCCTGCTATTTAGATATTTTAAATGACAATAGCAGGCTGGCTATTGCACCCGTCCACTGCCTGCTGTAAATCAGGAGGAGGGGAGGAGAGCAGAGCCGGAAAGTGAAGGAGAAAGTTCTCCTTCAGGTCCTCCTCTGCTGATTGACAGCAGGTAGTTGCAATAGCCAGCCTGCTATTGGCTATTGCAATGTAAAATATCTAATAGCTGGCTGGCTATTGTTTCCAGCTGCTGATGAGACTTGATGCCGGTGTAATATCAATCCCTGAGGAACTGATAGAACATGGGCAGAAGAGAGGGCACGGGGGAGCTGAAAAGGGTCATTTTGCAGGCTAACCTCACCTATTTAGTCCAGCGGGGACCAGATACAGCTTTCAAAGCCATGCTGGGGAAATTCTGATCCGGATAGCTGATATACAGTATAAAGACCAGCTCAAGCAGCACTGTCAGTGAAGAATCATGATTGACCTCACTAGACAAAAAAGGCTTGAAAAATATTAGACATTCTCCAGCAGAGGTGTCCAACCTCCTAAAACACTAGCAAAAAACAAACAAACTGAAGCTGGGTAGAAGGGGTTATGCAGGCTGGCTAAAGATGTTTCTTCTATTTTATTTCTATTAATATTCAGTGTCCTAAAACTCCTGTGGACAGCAATATAATCTGTTTCTGAACGCCTGTGTCCCCCAATGGATGAGAACAACAACAAAACTGTAGTTAAATAATAGAAGAAGAAAAAGAATGTTCTCAGCCACTTGCCACTCAGGGAAGACTGACAACCCCAGTACAATATACTATGTGATTGTGACGGCAGACCTTCAGTCAGGGGAGCCGTTTTTATCATTTGGCTATCTAGTGCAGCAGTAATACAAAATACATTTTATTTGCCTTTATAAAAAATACAGAAACAAACTTTATTTGTGAAAAAACATTTTTTATGACAATAAAAAGACATTTTAATTGAATTCAGTTGCTGAGAAAAATGCAATTTGATCTTTTACATAGAGCAGAAGCAGAGGAGCCGTGTAGCCTGCGAGAGAAACAACCACTGCCTGCCTTCTGTGCCATATACAAGCTCCACAACAGTGACACTGTCAACTGGTTCTGCTGTAATGTCCCTGAGCCAGTATTTGGAACAATGAATGACTTCTGCTATTACAAACTAATCACACAAGTACTAACATTCCAGTTCATTATTTTTCACAAATCAGAAATTACAAAGGAAATAAACAATACAGGATCAATCAAACTTGAATATAACCGATTATACCAATATGTATACAAAGAATGTGACTTTAATGGGGTAAGGATCATGATTATAAAATACATAATGATTACCTAACATGGCTTAATGATCCTCTCTATCCTGGGAATTCTGAATGTCTCAGGTGGGCTCCTACTAGTGCATGTAAAACGAATCAGCCACCTGTAAACGTGATATTATATAATATGTCATGTTGTAAAGTGTACGCATTTCATGCACCTTGGCTTTTATATCCAGGGCTCCCAACCTTTCCAAGCTCTGCCAAGGATGTTGGGATCTGTGGCCTGATCGATTAGGCACTGGACTTGCGTCTCTTCAGAAAGTCCTTCAGCTGCTTCTCTTGCCCTGATATTATGTTCTTTCTCTCCTTGTGCAACAGCCCGGAAACCTTTATAAAACTGACCAGTTTCATGTCCCAATCGCAGCTCCTCACTGCAAAACACAACAAACATGTCAGCATAGAATTCCCCAATTTTTCCGTAACAATCCAATTTCTACAGAGCAGCACATGGCAGGCCCGAAAGAGGCTTCTGTGCAGCTCCCCTTCCTTTCTCCATTGCCCTAAACAGGAGTGCTTGTGTGACCGTCATTCATGTTTATGGAGAAATTGGCTTAGAAGGCATTGTGAGGAGGTTGGCTGCAAGCATGCTGTCTATTCACTAATGTCTATGCCAAGGTTAGCTCTAGTGCAGCACTCAAACGCTCATGTGTAGTTAAGTTAATGCCACAGTTGTGGTCTGTGGTGGCAATTTTTAGGATGACACTTTGCTGATTTGTGTTGTGATTTGTAGGGCAGCATAGGAAACGAGGAGATTTTGTTCAATGAGCAAAAAAACAGACAAATGTATAAAATATGGGACACAGCTAGAACATGAAACTGTTTGATTCAAAATGTTTGTGGAATATTTAACACTATGTCTACTAAGAATAGATTACATTACAACATTCGGCAAGTTGTTATCAGAATAAGGAAGATATACTGACATCATTACATATCTAAACAAAAAACTGTTCATGAGACTGGCAAAACCATGTGTGTGGGCAACCGTGCAGGCTCCTAATTCTGAGATCATGGTGGTCTTAACATGTGGGAACCATTCTGATTGGTTCCTAATGATCACAAAGGTCAAAACAAGCCTGCAAATCAGCTGTCATTGTGCCTCACACAGAGAAAAGTGTAATGACAGCTGAGGCCTGTAGGGTGCAGCTGATAATGTGATGTACAAAAAAAAGTTTTTTTTGTTTTTTTTTTACAGACTGTATATTTGTTAGTTTAAAAACATTGTAAAAGTTATGTTGGTGGGTAAATAAGTTCTAGATCTATAGTTCAATCTGGGGAGGGCTTCCGATGATTGCAGTGCAGAGAGGGCAGTGTGCGCGGCGCACACTGGCCCATGCGGCATTCGTCTTCCGACCACTCCACCAACCATCATACGTTTTTCGGCAGGTTTTCCAGCGTGCTCGGAAGACGGAAGACGTGCGACCTTACAGTAGAAGCGGCCGCACGCTGCCCATAAACCTTTAGTGTATGTGTATATTAGGCCCCATTCACACCTACAGTACTTTTCAGGTGTGATTAGAGATTCCTGTGTCAGGAACTTGCGTTTTCCTGCAGCAGGAATCCCTAATCTGCCGTTTACAAGCGGCAACTATCATAAGATAAGAATTATCATAAGATTATTTAAGAGGGTGTGTTTGGGGGCGGAGCTAAGGCCGAGGCAGGGTAAGGTGGGGTAACTGGTGGCTAGTAACTCTTAAGGCTTGACTAGTAGTTCAGGACTTGAAATTTTGAGCCCTGTATATATATCTATATAGATATTCAAATGCTGACCTATTTAAATACAAGGATATACCCGATTCCTATGATTACAGTGAAGGGTCCAGTGCCTAGAAGTGACCTGCCCCCCAGAATCCTCATTTCCCAATGGCACACCTCTGCACCAAGCCTCTTCTCCCTACCTCATCCCACCACTTCACCATCAATCCACTGCTGTCTGCCCACAGCTTGCTTTGCTCTCCCTCGTCACCTCTTCAGGCTCATATGTTGCACATAACTGGCACCTACCCATCAACTCTCTGCTGACTGCCCACACCTCCCTGGTGCATCTACAACCTATGCCTGTGCCGTTGTTGGTTTCTCCACATAATCGCTTTGTTTCCTGCCCACACATTGCACACCTGTCCATGGACCTACTACTCACACAACTTTTTCTAGCACCTTTCCATCAACATTTTGATCAAACATTGCAAACGTCTCCCCATCACCTCTGTACTGGCTCCCCACACATTGCACATTTTCTGGCATATCCTTGTGTGCCATTGTAAGCTCCACCACATATCCCTTGCCTCCCAAATAACAGTTATGTTCTCCTGGCTTTTCCAATCTACTACTCCTGTCAATGTTCCATCATGGTGTTCCATTAATCTGCATATTGTTTGGCCTCCGACTCCTCAGTCTTTTAATTGCTGCAGATATCCTTCAGATCTGCTCTCCTCAAGTTCCCAAATCTCCTATTTTCAAGCTCCTGTCTTACAGCTTGCACTCCACACCTTACCTCTTCCAGGATTTATCCTCATTTTTGCATGCAGTCTCTTCTCCACTCTACTAGTATACTCCTAGCCACTATATGAAGTCACCTGTTCTACTTAACATTTTTACTTAAAAGTCTCTAACCATGGGGCAAACGTTTGCTAGTTACAATGATACGTGTGGCTTTTCTAGCAGGGAATCTATAGTCAATTCTACAAGATAAGCTAAGAGTGGGAGTACAATACTCAGCTGGAGTAAATACAATATGAAATATCAAGTACTCTGTGAATATTATACAATTTAAGAACTTACCATGTGATTTCAACTGGATTTACACCACTTAATTTTCTTCTTGCACAGTTAATTTTCTGCACAGGATACCAACCCTGTGATGTTGTGTTTATGTCCTTAAGCCAGCTTACCCCCTTCTTCATCTGCCTTGCCTCATTATTCTGAGCAGAAGAAAATGCAAAAAACAAAAGAGTATAGTTTAAAAATTCGAAGATTTTAAAGTGAACCTGTGCTTTAGCAATGCAGAGTAGAGCTCTATGCTGCAGAGGAGCAAAGGAAAGGCGCACATGATCATTTTATTTTACTGCAGACATAACAGTTGGAGAATGTGTGAATGTGTAAGATAAGACTATTTTCATAAATGCTCAAGAGTCTGTAATTTTTGAGACAGGCGTTCAAGCAAAAGGTCATGTAAACCATTATTTTTCTTCCCTTCATTGAAGGACACAGTGGAGAACTTGATCTTGGAACCAATAGGTTATACCGCCACCTTCAGAAGTAGGATGCTAGGCACAAAAAAAGCTAATCCCAGTGGGCGGGCTCCTGCCAGTGGCCACACCCTCACCTAACTGAGGCATCTCAGTTTCCTGTCACCCAACGGCCAGGACATGCAGTTCCCGGCGCAGGGCGGGTGTTTCTTTTCTACGTTTAGCCCTGCTTTGGGCAAGCAGGGCTAAACGTTGAGCAGGGAAGCTGCTGCTCGTTATTTACAAGTGATCTCAGCCGCAATACAGCTGTCCAGATCACTTGTCATTATCCTGCTGTCCCGTTGCCCCCTCCATGGTCCATACCACTACCATATGCCTCTCTCCCAGCCAGCCTGCTCCCTTCCCGCTGCGGTTTTCGGGGTTCCCCGCTCTACTGGGGGACCTGTGAACATGGCAAATTAAATCAGGCTAGAGAGCAGAGCAGAGAACATCTGCTTTCCGGTCTTCTTTTTAAAAAAATTTGCACACCCCTGCCGACTGGTCCAAGGGCTGGTTTGTCACAGTATCCCTCCACAGTCCCCATCTTGGTGGGAGCTGATCTGTTGTGGGAGAGGGTACTCTTGGCATCCTAGACCTGGAAGGTGACTCCCCTATTCTTCTATGCACATCTTTTAGGGTAAGTAGTACCTTCTCTCCACATATATATCCCCCTCATCCTTCTCTCTTCATATTCATGGCCACAATACATTTATCTTAGTAGCAGCACAGGTTGGTGGACAGAGTGGCTATGCTTATTAGAGTGGCTGCTTATCACATTAGCTGCAGCTGTTCTGTTTGAGGGAGATAGATTTGTTCACATATACTGAAAGAGTGGCCGCCTGTTGTGCTGAGCCGGGTCTATATCCCTGTACTGGAAGAGTGGCCGCTTGTTAAACTTTGGAGCCGACATCAGTGACGCTGCTTCCTGGGTTTTTCTCTTTCAGAGGTAATTTGTTGGCGCAGGCCTTAGGCCGGCCCTGCTTCTTACTGAAGAGTTTTGGGGATCTCTCCCCACCTTTCCACATGTATTTTTCATGATAGAAATTTAATGAAAAAAAACCCAATGGCTCACTTTATAAGGAGGTGATTAATGGTAAACAAAAAAGAAATAAACTAGGGATGTCCTGATACCATTTTTTCAAGATCTAGTACAAATACTTTCCCTCAGGTACTTGCCGATACCAATTACTGATACTTTTTCTGAAAGGGACATGTGACATTTTTGCAAAAACAAAACAGACTAATGATTTTAGGGCAGTTTCTTTATAATTATGAAGAACTGTAACTCCATCCATGATTATTCAGCAATGGAGATCGGCAACCAGCAATAGTGGGCAACAGATCCCATCAATCCATGATTATTCAACAATGTAGAAGAGCAGCTGGCTATAGAAGACTAAAAATCTCAGCAATCCATGATTATTCAGCAATGGAGAATGGCAACCGGCTAAAGAGAACTACAGATCCCTTCAATCTATGATTATACAGCAATTATGCAGGGGTGTGTGCAGATCGCAGCAGGGCTGCCGTGCGGGGCTCTGCATGTGGCTGCTAGGTTCTCTAGGGCTGAATGGGTGGGATCTAGGCTCGTGCTGAGCTCCAGGGCTGTCCTGTGCCGGCGCCAGGAGGAGGAGGCAATGTGCAGCCAGACAAGCATTAACAAAGACAGCTGCCTGAGGACCCCAGCACGCTCAGGACCCCAGCACGCTCAGGACCCTCTATGATTATACAGCAATTATGCAGGGGTGTGTGCAGATCGCAGCAGGGCTGCCGTGCGGGGCTCTGCATGTGGCTGCTAGGTTCTCTAGGGCTGAATGGGTGGGATCTAGGCTCGTGCTGAGCTCCAGGGCTGTCCTGTGCCGGCGCCAGGAGGAGGAGGCAATGTGCAGCCAGACAAGCATTAACAAAGACAGCTGCCTGAGGACCCCAGCACGCTCAGGACCCCAGCACGCTCAGGACCCCAGCACGCTCAGGACCCCAGCACGCTCAGGACCCCAGCACGTTCAGGACCCCAGCATGCTCAGGACCCCAGGCGGCCGAACTTCCTAAAAATTGTAAAGGTCCATTATCGGCCTTTAGTATCGGGGCATTTACTCCTGAAAATGCCCTGTATCGATATCAGAACATCCCTAATATAAACCTCCAGCATATTTCACAACCTGAAATATCCATTTTGTATGAACTATTCCCACAAATCAATAAACACACAACTAGAATACAAATGTTCACCTTCCAGTCTAACGATGGCTCCTTCACAAATACATCCATAGTGCTGATGAGGAGATCAGGATTCGTTCGAAAGGCTCGTAAGGCATGTATCATAACTGAATCAAATAATCCAACTTCCTTCATAGGCAACAACAGGTTAACGATCTGGCGGGTCAGGCGGAATGGCATCAGCTCAGGAACAGGTAAAAACTAAGAGAAGACCACAGTAAGAAATCAATACATTCCATCTTGTATCACATAATTACTTTTATCTTACATCACCACAAATTGTTAACTGATGCAAATGCAATAGTCAGTACAGGTACTTCAGGAAGCCCCCCCCCCCACATCTATCAAACGTTGCAGAAAACAAATCTTCCCAAACTGCATGTTCACTGCTGTTTTTTGTTTAGCTGACACGGCCCAAATGACCAATTCTCATCTACATCTTATTTAGTGCAAATAGATGTGAAATCAAAAAATAAAGAAGATTTTCTATCTCACATAGAATGTCTAAAATTGTTACTTGTGCCTAAGTACCCTAAAAATTCTGCTTTGTGCCCGCTGTCTGAGATCATCTAAGGCACTGCTGCCTCTGTTTTGCCTTTCGAGGGCTGTACCTGAACACATGCAGTGCAACCATCTCCCTGATTTTGGAGATGTGCTTTTCCACCTCTTCTTCTGCTTTCGTTATCATTACTAATTAATCATCAGGGGGAAAGCTCTGACATGAGAGCAAAGCCTTGCCTACATCATGCTGGCTACCTCCACACACAGACACGGCATGAAACAAGGCTTGGTAAGTCAGTAATTGAGGAAAAGATTTGCAGCAGGCAATACTGCTAACTATTACAGACTGCTGTCTGCTTGCCTCTTTTAGGCTTACACAGCATATGTACTGGACATTTTCATTGCTCATGACAAGAGAGCATGGAGCCGGCCTCCCGGCCAATCAGAAAGCAGGGCGGCGCGTCATTACACGGCGCGCAGCTTCCCGATTGGCCGGCTAGACGGCTCCGGCTGGGTACCGGACGAAGGCCGCGTTCTCGCTAGAGGGGCCCCCGGGGGATGACAGGCTGCACCATACTAAGGTAAGAGGGGACTTTTTTGTTAATCGGGAAGCCAGGTGGCGAGTCATTACACGCCACCTAGCTTCCTGAATGGGACTTCCGTTACTCGGTAATTAGTATCAGTGAGTACCGAAAAAAAATTATCGGTACTCGGTACCAAAATACCGGTATCGGTGTATCCCTAATTTTAACCCTTTCACTCCCAAGCCCTCAGGAACGCTTTACACCTCAGCTGGCCACACCATTTTTGCATTTTTCCCATTGTTTTGATTTTCAATTGCTGCGTTGCTAGCGTTTGTAAAAGACCCCCAAACCATATCTTTTCTGAAAGCGCAGGCCCGGTAGAAAAAAAAGTTGGTGCTACTAAATTTGTAGGACCTGCGATAATTGTGCAAATGTTTATCAAATCAATATTAAACTGATAAAAATACACAATTTCATTAATAAAGCACTAAAATCCGTATCAGTGCACAAAAAAAAAATCAGACTAAATCTAAAAGATAAAATAACAAATATTTGTAAATTTTAAATCGCGCCTTTTTGCGAAACAGTAAAAAAATGAAGGAAGGCAAAACTAAAAAAAAAAAGTGTTTTTTTGTTAAAAATTCTTTTTGCGCTGTGTTGGTGTTTGTGTTGTGATAAAATTATATAGGCATATATTTAATTGCACACAGTGTATCACAACACACGACAATGCGTCACAAAGCTTTGCCATGCGCTGCCACTGTTAAATTAATGTTATTTTAAAAAGAGAAAAAAAAAGGAATCATGCACTGCGATGTGTTCTAACAACTCACTGCAGCACATGTGCATGGCGTACACCTCAATATGGTGCACATGTATGCTATGTGTGTGTGTGGGGGGGGGTTGTGTTTTTTTATTATTTATTTTAGTTTTTTTTATACTGTTGGTGGGGTGGGGGGGGGG